GGGGTCAAACAGTAAATGTCTGCGTAGGCGTTTGCCGAGTTTATTGCGTCGTTAATCCCCTGCCCGGAAATCTTGGGCTAACGATGAAGCAGTGGGGTAAGTGAGAGTGCCAACAGCCGAGTGTCAGCCTGTACCCCCCACACCGTCCTCTTGGGTACACCCGTTGTGTCCCATCTCCCCTCCACCCCCAGCCCTCTGGAGTTAATCAACCCCCTCATTAACTTATTCTGCCTTAAACCTCCCCAAAAAAGCGAGGTTGTTCGGCACACACCGGCTGAGTCACAGCAGGGAACAGCGTTCCTGCCCGAGTGACTCACGCTTCTTAGAACAGGGTATTAAAAAAAAATATATATAAAACAACAGGGTTTAGCAACAGCTGTTTGCATAAATCAGCAGTTTGAGGAATGATTAATTAGTGACCAAGCAGAGGGAGGGGGAGGGATGAAGGAAGCCCCCACCCTGTGCAGAAACCCCAGGGGCAGGGGGAATCCCAAATGATTTTATTGCTTATAGCTCAAAATTAATTAAAGAAATGGGGTGGGTTGTTGGGGGTTTTTTTGCAGCAAAGGAGATGAGATTATGCCTGGGAAAATGAGGAAAAAAATAGGATTGGGATAATTTCAGGGGGTTTATATCAAATATAGTCTGAGGGGTGGGTGAGAGAGGGCCCAGGGGAGGGAGGAGGTGAGTTGCAGACAAGGAGCATCACCTTTTCACAGTAGAAAAACACTAAAATCCAGCAAATTAAAGCAATTCCTTTCCCTTTAGCCCCTTGTAGGAGCGTATTCCAGCACCAGAGCAGAGTGGGATCCGCTCGGATGCAGCCAGGAACCATCAAGACTGAGTGAGGTGCCAATTTAATGCCCAATTAAAGCCATTAAGGCCCTATATCCTCCCCCTGCCCCAGCTTGGAACAAGTGGAAGGAGCAAAAATGAGGAGAAAAGGGGATTTTGGCCATTCCCCCCCCAGGGTGTTATTTCGAAACGTGGGGAAGCTGCTGCTGGGCATTGCCCAGATCCGGCAGCGATGGTTTCGTAATTGCTGCTGATAATTAGGCAGATGTGGGGGGGCAAACTCAAGCACCTTCATCCCCAGCTCACTTTAATTCACTAATTAAGGTGAAATCCATGAAAACAAGGGCCCTCCGGGTTGTCACAACCCACCCCTCTCCTCCCAAAGGTCCTGGACCACAAAAAAAAAAACCCCAAGGACTCTGAAAAACACCCAAAATGATCCATTCCAGGCTTTCTGCCTCCAAATTGTTTGACCAAACAGCAGCTGAGAAGAGGGGATTGGGAAATCAAGCCACATCTCTCATCAAAATAAATGAAGGGTAAATTAATTACAAACAATGCTCTAAAACGCCCCCATCCTGTCACGGGAATTATTTCTGGTAAGAAAAATCCTAAAATAAATAAAAATGAAGTCATCGCCACGTGGATGGGTGTGTTGGGAGGAAGCGCCGTCGGTTTAGAGCAGGTAAAGGTTGAACCATAACAGCATAAAATCAAATAGAAATTAAACCCAGCAGCTGCCCGGATTGAGCTCAATTAACCTCATTGTCTTAATTAGGCTTGAAACATTGGTTTTACCCCAAATTTTCCGTGTTTCCACCAAAACAGAGTGGTTTGGTCTCACAGTGAGTGCCCCACCGGACACAGATGGGCAATAAGCAAGAGCAGGGACACAGTTGGGGTGGTGACAAGCTCCGAGCTCATTAATCTAATGATTCATTAGTTAACGACACCTGAAGAAAACAGCAATCGATGATGGAAAGAAATACAGGGTCAGGCTCTGGCAAACCAGCAAAAAGTCAGGGTGTTCTTCAAGAGGTGCCTTAATTCCTTACTCAGGGGGACTCCCGGCCTCATTCTGGACTAAAACTACCAGAAACGGTTAAAAATGATGCAATTAATTAGTGATGTCATTCCTAGTAATTAGGAAACGAGGTCCTGCTGGTTTTTACACCGTTACCGAGTCCAACAGGTTTCTCTCGTCCTCGATTCTGGGATGGGGGGGGAAAGAGAAGGAAAGGCCTCGCAGTCGGGTGTTTTAAAGTCTTTCGCCCCGACGTCAGTGGAATTGGCATTTCCACAGATTATTTCTTTTATTCTTTTTTTAAATTATTTATAAAAAAAAAAGGCAGAAGGGATTCGCATTCCTTTCTGCGTGCCGAAGCGTTTCACCCCCTCGTTCCTCCCTCCGGCCGAACAATCTGCGATTGACGGAGACGGCGTCTTTTGGGAGACTGAAATCTCCCCCAGGAATCTGGCCGGGCGGTCACTCACCCCCCCCACACTTAACAGATGATTTTTTTTGTGGTTTTGTTGCTTTTTTTGCATCTTATTTACCACTTTCGATTCCACTTCTGAGCTCCGGGGGATTTAGTCGCTGAAATACAGCCCAAGAGGGGGCTTTTCAGCTTCTCCGCGGAGAGTTTTTTTAGCTTCTCCTTAGAGGTGGTGCAACGTTAGAGCCCGATGGAGTCTTTTGCCACGGAACCGCTAAATTTACCCGTTTTTGCGGGATCTGAAAAGAAATTAAACCACGTCGAAGGCTGGCGTTTGACATCGCCTCGATGATTGGGGGTGGGTGGCAAACGGCGCGCGTCACCCCTTCGCCTCCACCGACCGCAAAAACCCTCCTCGAGCGAAGCAAAATCAACCCCAACCCTCCCCAAAATCCTCCCGACTGAAACATTTAGGAATTCGGCCGTCGCTGTTTCATCCCATTCAGCGCCAAAAACGTTCCCAACGGCCCCAGGAGGGGGGAGTCTTGTTTTTCTCCCGGTCCTACAGCTCCATCCGTCGCCGAAGGTGAAGTTGAAGCGGGCGAGCGTTGAGAAATAACCCAGCACCGATAAATGCCTCTTCCCTTTGGGATTTGGAGGGCGTTGGAATGTGGTTTGTCTTTTTTTTTTCTCCCCACACACAGAGGGAGCGGCCGGAGATTTTCGGGGAGAAACGCTCCACGTCTGCACGTTTGCACGACGGGCTCTGCAAGAAGAAACAACAGGGCAAGCCGTTAGGAAAGGCGTGTGGAGGCAAACTTTGAGAGGGTTGGAGCTGTGTTTTAAGGAGGAAAAACGAAAAGTAAAAAAAAGAAAAATAAAAAAACCCAATGTTTCTCAACGTCTTTACCTCGAGACGTCTTCACGTCAAGATTTCCTGCCGGCCCGGGTCCTGGAGGGACCCACCCACTCTCTCTGCCTGGTGTTTCTCCATCACTTGCAGGACGTCCTCCAAGATGGATGGTCCCAAATCCACGTGGAGGGAGAGGAGGGAGCCGGCGTGGGAGAGGAAGGCCGGCTCGGCCTTGCCCTTCTCCTCGGCGAAGCCGTTGGTGGGGGCGGCGAAACGCGAGGTGCAGGGATGCGGCGGCGACGACAACGACGACGACGACGAAGGGGTGACGCTCCTGCCTTCACCACCACCACCCTCCTCCTCCTCCTCGCTTCGCGCCGGTGGGGTTTTGTCGTCGAGGTGTAACCGCGGGGGTTTTGGGGGGGCTTGTGCCGAGGGCAGCGTCAAGGCCTGCGGCCCCCCGATAACGGGCAGGGAGATGGCATTTTTGAGGAGGGGGGACGACGTCTCCGAGGAAGAGTGTGGCTGCTCCCGGCCGGAGATGGTGGCCGTCCTGGAGAACTCGAAGGGCGCCGCGTCGGGGCTGTCCTTGTCGGAGTCGAAGCTGCCTTCGGTCCTGGGGAGGAGGTGGAATTTGCCCTGGAGGAAGGAGATGTCCCCGAACATGTCGCTCTCCCCGCCGCTGCCGATGTGGATGGTGTGTCTGAAGTCCCCCAAGGGCGGGCTGATCATGTCGGAGGAGAGGATGTCGCGCAGCTTCTCCTTCTTCCCCTTCCTGCTGCCCCTCTTCAGGTAGATGGGCACCTTGGTGGACATCTCCCCGAGGAGCAAAGCTCTTCCTCACTGACTCAAAAGCGGCTTCCGAGACCTTCAGGCTTTAAAAAAGAACCTGGAAAATTAAGGGGAAAAAAAATAAAAAATGCTTAAAAGGGAGTTATAACGTGTAGGACGGAGATCCTCAACGTCAGCACGTCCCAGGAAATTAATTCCAGACGCTCTCCGCTTCGCTATCTGAAAGTTCGTTGGCTGCGTTATCGATAACAAAACAACCCGGGTAATTAAATCCAGGCACTCGGGGCCTCTCCTGGAGATTTGTTTCGAGTGGAAGAGGGGGAAAAAAAGTAAAATTAAAAAAAAAAAAAAAAAAAGTTCCTTATGGAATAGTAACTCTTAAGAGAGTTTTAATATTTTTAAACAGTATATGTACACATACAATGCACAGACTTCAGGCTACATAGCTTTCTTTTCCTTCACTGGATGAGAACACTCCTGGAATGTTATTATTTTCAGGGGCTGGGTTTTAAGAATTTAATACATTGTGAATACATGCATTATATATGTGCGCACAGAAACACTGCGGGGTTTGTAAATGACCCAGGAGTTCATAAACTTGGCTATTGTCTTCTTTCGAGTGGAAGAGGGGGAAAAAAAGTAAAACTAAAGAAAAAAAAAAAATCAGGAGCGGGGGTCAGAGCTGGAAATCTAAGAGGATTGATGTTTTTATGGGGGGAATCGGGGTCCTGTGTTGAAGGGTGGGAGAGCAGAGCATCGGAAAGCGCCTTTTCTAACCCAAAAAGAGATTATTTTTCATTTCAATTCCCTCTCCTCTTGGCCATGTGTAATCCAGCCCCACCCAACAACAAGCTAAAATACAAAATAATAGAGATTAAGGCAGGAGGGGGAAGGAAGTTGGGTTTTCCCCCCCCTATTTTGGTCATATTCATTCAACTTGGACAAATTTAAGCGTTCTGGGTGTGATTTTTCAACTGTGGGGAGAAATAAAGCAAAAAATGGGCATTTTGGAGGATAATAACATTATGCACGACCTCGAGACACACCTCGGCTGGACAGAAATGGGGTGAAACAGGTTTCAGGGCACCTGAGCGTGACTTCTGAATATCAACAAGGGGAAAACTCCGGGGTTTTAGCTTTTCTCACTAATTTTTAGGGAAAAACAATCTAAAACTAGCTCTGCTCTGCCCTCCGCCTGTGTTTTACAGCCCCAACCACCACGTCAGGCGCTCGCCCCGGTTGAAACCTGCCCCGGCTGGTGCCAGGGATCCAGTGAAAACCAGTCTGCGGCCAACGACGGATGAATGGAGCTGGAGAAACTCCCCCAGGGCTGGCATTTCAATCCCAAAACAAAAATACAATAATAATAATAATAATAATAATAGATGGAGGGGTGCAAAATCCCATGGTCACCTTAAATATACAATAATAATACACAAAGGGATGGAAAATCCTACGATCACCTTAAAAATGTAAGAAGAAGACGACACAGAGGGATGATTAATCCCATGTTCACCTTAAAAATCTAATAAGAAGACAACAGAGGGATGATTAATCCCATGTTCACCTTAAAAATCTTATAAGAAGACACAGAGGGATGATTAATCCCATGTTCACCTTAAAAATATAATAACAATACGTGGAGGGATGGAAAATCCTATGTTCACCTTAAAAATATAAGACGACGACGACACAGAGGGATGATTAATCCACGTTCACCTTAAAAATATAATAATAATACGCGGAGGGATGGAAAATCCTACGTTCACCTTGAAAATCTAAGAAGAAGAAGACACAGAGGGATGGAAAAGCCCACGTTCACCTTAAAAATCTAATAAGAAGACGACACAGAGGGGTGGAAAAGCCCACGGTCACCTTCAACCGCCTGATGCACCATCGTTATCGTTATCGATGCCGAGACGCCGGTGATGCCGTCAGCGTCGGGAACGCAGCCCCGGGGAAGGGGGTGGGGGGACACACGGTCCCCGATAATCCCGTTCCCGGCGGCTCCGGGCGGAGAGAAAAATCCTGACGATGCAGAATTCAGCTTCGTTAATCCCGGGTGGATTAAAGGCCGGGAAGCGGCGTAATGACAGGAGGCGGCCGCTCGCGTGAAATCCGGGCGCCGGGAGGAAGGGGGTGAGACTGAATTTCACTGAATTTCACTGAATTTTTCGGGTTGGAAGGGACCAAAGAGATCAGATTTGAGTGGAAGCTCTTCTGTTCCAACTTGTGCCCGTTGCCCCTCGTCCTCTCCCTGGCAACCTCCTTTCAGGGAGTTGGAGAGAGCAAGAAGGTCTCCCCTCAGCCTCCTCTTCTCCAGGCTGAAGAACCCCAGCTCCCTCAGCCTCTCCTCAGAAGACTTCTTTCGAGTTGGAAGGGAACCATGGAGATCATCTAGTCCAACTCCCCTGCTGAAGCAGGATCACCTACAGGATGGCATCCAGGTGGGTCTTGAAGATCTCCAGAGAAGGGGACTCCACAATCTCCCTGGGCAGCCTCTTCCAGGGCTCTGCCACCCTCACCCTGAAGAAGTTTCTCCTCATATTTGAGTGGAACCTCTTCTGTTCCAACTTGTGCCCGTTGCCCCTCGTCCTCTCACTGGGAACCACTGAAAAGAGTCCAACTCCCTCCTCCTTCAACCCTCCCTTGAGATACTTGTCAGCATTAATGAGGTCTCCCCTCAGCCTTCTCTTCTCCAGGCTCAAGAGCCCCAACTCTCTCAGCCTTTCCTCATCAGGGAGATGCTCCAATCCTTGAATCATCTTCGTTGCCCTTCGCTGGACTCTTCCCAGCAGTTCCCTTTCCCTCTTGAACTGGGGAGCCCAGAACTGGTCACAATATTCCAGTTATGGCCTCCCCAGTGCAGAATAGAAGTGGAGAATGACTTCTCTTGACCTGGTGGCCACACTCTACACAGCCCAGGATTCTTGTTGGCCTCTTGGCCACAAGAGCCAGGAAGGAGGGAAGTTGGTTTCTTCACCGAGATCCAGATTCGGAGCAGCGCCGGCGCTCGCCAAAACACCTCCTGGATGCTCAGCCCCCCTTATTGCCAGCAAAGCACAAAAGAGGGGTGGGTTAGCCCCAAAAAAACCACTGAAAAAAGCAGATTTGGAGGAAAAAAGCCTCTCGTCGCTCAGAAATACGGAAGGTGTGGGGTGATGCTGATGGGGATGAGCAGCCACCGGGCTCGTTTCTCCTCCCGGCCGGCGCAGGTTCAACCTCTTCCACTGGCACCGAGCAGAAATCGCTCTTCCTCACCCCAATTTTTCACCCCAGCTCCTCCTCTTCTCCCCAGTCTGGGCCGTGGCCGAGACCCCAGCGCCCCACTGGGCCGGGACAAAGGCAGCCTGTGATCTCCAGAGAGTTCAGGGGGTAGAGCCCTTTCCCTTTGTGCTGGAAAGAAAAAAAAAGACTCGAAAAAGGGTATTTGCTGCCAGCGCAGCCTGGGAAAGGGTCAGCGGGCCCCGAAAGCACAGGGAATAGGGGTTTTTTTTCATCAGAAAAAAATCCTTAAAATCTTTTTCCTGGCATTTTTCAGCGCTGACGACGGAATAAACCTGCTCAAAAGATGGGGGTGTTACCAGGGCGCCCGATTCTCAGCAGCGACGCGACACGAGGGGGGGAAAAACGGGTCAGAAAAGGAGCAAAACCCAAATAAACCCCCTCGTTAAGTTGTTTAGGGGTGTTTTCACCCACGTTCAACCCATTAAAAGCCCAAAATAATCCAGGTGTCCCACAAAAGGAGACTCGTTAAGAGAGAAACAGGGAAAATGAGATGTTCTGGTGCAGGATAAAAGCGGGAGGTGCCTCAGGAGAAGATTTGAGGAATTCAACTCCACCTTCATCCCCCTGAGAGGGTTCATTTTCGCTTCTCATCGGCAAAAAATCAGCCCAAAGCCCCGGGGAGAAGATTTGAACCCTCCCAGCGTCTCCGCCAACACCCAACGCTGGGATATTTGCCCCAATTTGACTCCCCCAGAGTCAAATTTGAGTGGTTTTTGGTCCCATTTCCAGACATTCATATGTGAATTTTTGTTTCTTTTCCACCTGTTTTTGGCAATTTAGGCTATGGCTGACAAAAAGATCGCTTTCTTTTTGGCCTCTTTTCAGCCATTTGGGCTTTTGCTACCTGGGAATTTCCTTCCTGCCCTGCCCCGTTTTCAGCCCTTTCAACTTTGCTCCATGAAAATTTCTTTTTAGCTCAATTTCAGCCATTTAACTTCACACACGAAGACCCTGGCGCTTCCTCACTCCCCTGAGTTACTCCCGGAGCAGTGATTTTTCCATCCCAGTGTCTATTTTATTAAGATCCTACAAAAACAGGGATTAAGCGACGGAGGCTTGAACCCATTTTCCCTCTGGAAGGCGCAAAAATCGAGCGACCGCCGCAGAAAACGAAGCCGGTTCCTCCCAACTCCTCCTCTTGACCCTTTTTTGGGTCTTTTTGCACCTTTTATCGATGCTTGGAGAAAATCCTCACCTAAAAATTTGCTCCTGGGAAGAGGTTTTGCCCCCGGGGGAAGGGATATTCCCCACGGTCCCGGAGCCGGAGGGACATCAGGGTGTGGAAAAGGCACCCTTTGAGGAATCACACCCCCTCCAGGATGGGAATTAGGGATTTATTTTAGGGAAAAGGGATGTTTTGGAAAGCCTTTTGGGGGTTGCCCTCTTGGTTGGGAGGATTTATCCCAGATTTTCTTGGTTATTCCTGGTGAAAAAGGGAGGATTGATTTCTCTCCGCAGGGTCCTACCTGGAGCATCCGGATGGGGAAGAGCCGCCGGTGACGAGGGGACGCCGTGACAAGGTGTGTGCGGGGGCAGGACTGTCCCCTCCCAAAACACTGGGGGGGGTTTTTCCCCACCCCCCCTTCACCCCAGGACTGGGAAAACACCGGTATTGGAGGCGGGGGGGGTGGGGGTGGGGGAAGATTTTCCCTGATAAGGAAATTCCAAGGAGGAAAGTTTGCGGATGAGGAAGTGCCGGCGCTCGGGAGGGAAACGCAGCCAAACCCTTCCCGTGCCTCAGTTTCCCCCACACCCCGCTGCAGCAGTGACAAACCAGAAAAGAGAAAGGAGGGGGGGGATATATAAAAAAA